ATTTAAGGATAGCTATACTATACATACTATTATACCTTTATGTTTTATACAGCCAGCTATTATACCTACCTATTCAAGTTTTTATTATAACACAGAATTTGGTGAACAGATATATGCATGACGTATAATAAATATCTGTATTAGGTAATGTATTTGTACATACCTACTATAACTACTTTAAAAAGCTGAATTAGTATACTAAATGTAGGTACCTAATATATGTTGCGTATTAACTGGTTTTATAATTCTAAATGAAAAAATAAAATATTACAAACATTATAGTATTTAATAATTAAAAAACGTTTTGACTTTGGAGTAAATTAAATAGGAGGGACGATGTCAAAAATCTCTGATAGGTAATACCGTTTTTTAGTTTGTTTTTTTCAAGTGATAAAATGAATGATTATTAAAATAGGGAGCAAGGTGTATGGCCCCTCCGCACTACTACATTATACCATTGATTATAGAATAGACTATATTAGAATAGATTATATTCTATAATCAATGATTATACATATAGGTGTATAAATCAATTTGATGTTAACTGGTAACTTACCTATTGTAAGCCATATATTGTTGGCCATAAGGTACAGGAATTAAATTTTACACATTATTTAAAACAAATTGTAAGTCCAGTTAACTGAATCAAATTGAAATCTTTTCTTTAAAACCTAAACAAATGCTCGAGAGGTAGKTTATACATTTACAAGGTTGAAACATCTAAAATAAAATCGTTAAAGTTTTTATAAATGATAAGATTACAAAATGTAAAAATGTGATATATTATATTATAATGTTGAATAAATGTCTATTCATAAACAATTATCTAGATAAATTAATATAGATGACAGGAGATTTCAGATTTCACCTAGATAAGTCGCAACACCATACAGTAATAACTAGTGMCTGGAGTCTGGAATATTATAATATGCACTAAAAAATAAATATGAGGCAAATATGCAAAGCAAAAGTGTCAAAATATTAAAATATGTGTTATAATATGTAAAAATATGCTCAAATATGCATCATAAATTCAGGAACGGCGCTAGGATTTGCGGGGCCCCGGGCAAAATAAATAACAGTCACATTACATATTATCCAAACTAATCTCTGAACAGTATAAAATATCATTTAAGAACTGCAGGGCCTTATTATAATTTTAAAATCGCGGGGCCCGGGGCAACTGCCCCGATTGTCCCCCCCCCCATCGCACAGGCCCTGCATAGATTTATATTACTTTAAACAACTACAAATATTAGAACAAATATAACAAAATTAGGAACGTTGGACTTTTCAATATCTAAATGAATTTAAAAAAAAAAACAAAACAATAGATATAAAAATGTATGTTTTTAAAAGTTTTTAAATAAATTAGAAGTGTTGGATTTATTTTTTTATTAGGATTTTATATTATATAAGGACCTTTCAATATCGTGTTAAAAATATTTTTTCACGCCATTATTTAAAAATTTCAATTTCTAAGAGGAAAACATGAAATAATTTGATTAGGTATTTACAAAGATTGTAAAAAATAAATATATGYTATAATAATATATAGGTACACTTGCATAAAAATATGACTCAATCATCTAAAAATGCAATTATTTGCAAAATTAAATTTGGTCTATTGAATCAGTAAGGTTTGAATTGTGGACATTTCGATTCCTTGTATATGAACAAGCAAATACATTAAACTTCGGTCTTTAGTWATAAACTAATAGCTAATTGTAATTCCTAATACACATTTTAAATTGCATAATATTTAAAAACCCTAAGAATTATTAAGCCATATTTTATGATCGTAGTATTAAATTACACTGCTTAATGACGTATCATTTAAAATTTGGATTCCGAGTGTATGGTCCGGACTAATATGGTTCGAAAAATATTTTATTCCATATTTATACGGTCCGCGYCTACACGGTGTTTGTGTTTTTTTCGGGAGTATACAGTCCGAGAATATACTTTCTGGATTTCTACGGTCCGATTATTTTGAAATTTTGGGATTATATGGTCCACCATAACGTGGTMTGAAAAATATTTTAATCCGGATTTCTATGGTTCGAGACTTTACTGATTTTTTTCCGTAATTAAACTGTCCATGCGAATACATTCCAAGATTCTACGGCCTCCCAATTGTAAAACACTAAAATTAAAAAACGGGATATTTTTTTGACTTGAAAGTTAAAACTTTGAATTAGTATGTTGTATGTAGAWTGTAGATCATCTATTTTTATTTATTAGTGTTATAAAAATTAACGACTACAYAAATGTATGATAAATAGGTTCTGATGGCACCAATGTTTGCACTTGTTTGTATTTAATCAATGCACTTAGACAGCAAATAAAGTTTAATTAATTTATGTACTAACATGTGAGCTTTATTTAATAT